CGTGTCTTCATTTTAATAATCACAATAGCAAAAAACAGATAATTAATAGTTCATGTAAAAATTCATCTTTCAACTTCTAAATGATAAAAGAATACAACAGAATTTATCATACGCAAAATAATGCCTTTTATTTTAAAAATAATATTACAAAAAGTACATATGCTCACCTTATGTCCCACATGATAATTTTCTTTTGTTCTGGGTTATGAATATCCCCTTGAGGTGAATATGTAACCAAATACTTTTCGCAGGGTGAAAAATCAATGAATTGTACACCTACTTGTGAGAATCTTTTATACTGGCTGAAGTTGGGACCACCCCAAAGTGCCACACCTTGCTTGTGGAAAGTAGAAAGGAAAGTACCCAATGGGGACCATTTCACATAAGTGTGCGTCCAGAGCTAGTCAAAAAAGCAATAAATAAGTAATCTATAAATTTAAAACAATCAAGAATAAAATCAGTTATTTAGCAGTCAACTAAATTCAAAATACACAATAGAGTCCATAAGAAAATGTTTTTGAAAGTTTTGAAAATTAACAGAACATTTAATTCTACTTTTGCACTATTACATAACAAAATAGTAAATAAATTTCTTACCTGTCTATCTTCTACCAAAGTAGGTTCTGGCTGTGTATTCTGCCAAATTTGAACAGACTGTTCCTGTGCTTTTACAACACAATATTGATCATAAGCGTCAGGCTCTAGTAAATAATAAGTGAGATCTGCTTGACCTTTATATGGTTGAGGCTGAGGTGGTTCCCACTCTTCAGGAATACTTTCATATTTCTCGAAATCACTGAACAAATTAACCAAAAATGTATGCTGTTTATCCAATTTATAATTGTTTATCATTTTTGCGGCTTCACTTGCATCTTGTGGATTGGCATATTCCAAAAATATGTAACCCTTTGTCTGATTTTTTTCATTTACAGGATAGTAGCTGTTAACAATATCGCCAAATTTGCCAAATATTTTGTTAACAACACTCTGCAACTTCTCAAGACGTTCAGGTCCTATCTGAGGACACCCATCTACAACAACCACACTTTCTACTCCATCAGTTTCTTTTGGTTTATCCTTTAAGATATCTCCTAGTAACTCTAAAAACATATAAGTAAAATGATTATCACTAAAACCTAATGAGACAATAAGCAATTAGTGTAGAGAATAATATAACCTTAAAATTAGGAACTACCCCTATTTTAACAAAAACTGGATTACGAATATTATAACATAAAAAGCAATATCCAGTAAATGCTTAGCCATTATTGAGACATTTAAAATATTCACTTTATATCAATTTATTTAAGAAAAATTGACAAGTATGACACATGGCACTTGCCAGACCGACAATATTGAACTTTTTTTAGATAAATACCTTCATCGGTGATATCGTCCACATATCCCTCAGGATCACTAAAGTTTGGCTCATCATCCGTAGATGAAGTATCACCGTCATATTTTGTACTATCACTGTTTTGGTTATTTTTATCCTCAACTTTCTTTTTCGCCATGTTGACTAGCTATGGTTAGGTTGCAGAGTGGACGAAAACTAGAATTGCGCAAGTGCGTTTCGCCTGTCTACATTTCAAAATTAATACTACTCTAGTCATAACAATTATTTAAAAATATAACAAAATACTTAAATACAAATTAATAAAATTCACATAATGTTTTTTATCTGACAGTTAAAAAATGTAAAAATCGAGTTTCTTTATTACAAATTTGAAATATTATAAAACTACAATTTTTACGTATTTCGTTTTGTCCTCGATTTTTGTGCGAGTTTTTTTAGGGACCCCATTAATTCAAAAAGGAAAAACATTTATTTTGTTAGCGGCACTAGTTCTTCCCTCTGTCCCGGCCATTTTTATTGCTCCATTATGACGTAGGTCGGCCATCATTCTTTTCTAATTGTTGCAGTTGTCGGCCATCATTCTTTTTCAATTGTTGTAGCATTGTCACTGATGTCGGCCATTATGGTCTCTTAATAGATGTAAAGTAACCACTGATTAAAATTTAAAGGAATTATTG